ACTTGATGTTATAAATTATAAGATAGAGTTAATAAGTTTCTACATTATTCAATTGACAAATATGAAATTCAAAATAGAACATGTTCAGAAATCGGAGAAGTTATAATATTACCAATAATGCAGTTCTGAAGACAGAGTGCTCACCATAACTCAAAATTTGATTATTTGCATTTGTGTAGGAAGCTTTCAAGCTGTTTCAGCAAAAATGCATCAAAATTAAGAAAATTACTCTCAGAAAATGGAGGAAAATGCATAAAATTTAATACAGAATTCAAGAGCTTTCAGGACCCTAAGGTGAGCTCTGGACACCCAGGCCATATTGGGTGCACCTGTGGTGTACATTCTTACTTACTTATACTCTGGGTGGTAATTTTGGTTACGTCCTTTCAACCTCAACGTGTTTGAGGACAACCAGGGGTGTTCAGAAGCTTTTTTCTCCTTCTCTTCAACCCTGCTGCTTGGTGAGGGATGTACATATTCATGAGTATTATAGTTTGTCCTGGATTTGGTTTGACCGGGTCTGGAGCATACATTAAGCTTAGAAAATCAGGCAGCGGCGCCTTGTGTACATTCCCTTGCTTCACTCGGTTAAATAAACCGTGCCCCCCTACATTTAGTTTGCCTCTTACACCTCTGATTTGACAGCTTTTACAAGGTAACTATAAAATAAACCTATATAAAATTTTAACTTGTCAGTTTTAATTACTTTAAGATAACTATGCTTTTGTATAAAATTTAAGAGAAATTAGGAATTTTTGGAAACTGCATGAAGTTAATTTTCGTGTAGGTTTTACTGATAGAAACAAGAGATTAGATGTATTAGTAGTAAGTTGTTGTTGACTAAAATAAAAGACAAATTTACCATCAGAATTTGAAAATAACATCATTTATATAACTACATGCACTGGAATGTACTGTTCCAATTGAATCCTAAAACATAAATATAATTAGCAAACCAGAAAGAGAACTTCAGTTCAGCATCTGTAAAAGTTACCCAATCTCCTAAGTGAGATCAAGTTTAAATAAGAATAACATATTCTTCTCAAATTGTAAAAGAACATTTTTATACAAAGTTTCATCCTCTCTCTTGGAAATCATTTTATTCTGATTATGTATCCAGATGGGTGGTACATTTTTAAAAATATTTTAATGAGAAACCACATATCAAAGTTCCAATTAACAGGACAGTGTTTTCCTTTAGTATTAGAATACTGATTTAAAGTATAAAAAATACTGAATAAGATCTATTCATCATAAACACATAAAAAAAAAACTATTGTGAAATAAGTGTCAAACCTCACTACTGTTTATGGTGAACATTCTTTAAATACAGTGTAAATACTTGTGATATTCAAAAATTCACTTAATCAAAACACCTTAATTGTTTTAACCCACATTTTAATTTTAATCAACATGTGTAAATAAGCCTTGAACTAACTTGTTCTCACAACTGCATTGATATATTTCAGTTACACATTAAACTGAAAGGTTTAATCAAATTTACTATTTCTAAGTAAATCACTTGGAGACTGTTAAAATATTTATATAGAATTATAACTGACACCAAAGAAACACTTACAGTGAAATTCTCAAAACCAAAGATGTCTAAAACACCTAAAAATCTTTTGCTGTCTTGACCTGGATTAGTACAAGTATTGATGAAGTTCACAATCCAAGCAAATGTCCGAGAATACAAAGCTTTGGCCATAGCATGTCTGTTATCTTGAGCCTAAAATAATAAACCAGTAATATTAAAAATGTGGATGAAAACTAGATAGTTAGAACTTCTGGAAGTGCATCTGAATGGACTTCACAGCTGTAATGTTTAAATATTTTTTACATGTTTTATATATGCAAGATTACCTACTTTAGTTGAAGTTTAAATTCACAGTTTCATTATATTTGTAATATGAGTATTTTCATCCTTTCTTAATTTTATATTTACCTTTTAAGAGGTCATACTTGGTAAACCACAATTTGTTTCATGAAGTATAGTTGGCCAAAGTAATTGAGTCGCAATGATTATGATAAAATATTCTATTCGGGGTGACTACAGAAACTTACAACCCATCTTTGCATATTGTTACAAAGTTTTTCTGGTTTCTCTGTGATAAAACGTTTAAGATAGTATTGTATTACCTATATGATTTATAAAACTCTAAAACAACAAAGTGTTTATGACCAAAGAAAAAAAATCAATTAAAACATATTTATCAGCATGTATGGAATAAAAATACTATAATGGAAATAACCCTTCTGAATTAATCTTATATCTTTCTTTCAGGTATAAACAAAACAGTTATATAGCATTTCCAAATAGAAAGTATACATAATACTCATATTTATCAGTTTTTCTCAATTCACATCTCAATATAGGATACTAAGAAAACAAAATTTCAAGTTCTTGTCTTTTAATAATAGATGGAAATTTAAAGTTAATTTGGATGAAACTTGGATTAATCAAAATTACTGTAATTATAGTGTAAAAAATATTATTATGTTACACTGAAAAATCATTCCACTAACATCAAAACAGATATGATGTTTAGAGAAATATATGTTAGTGAATATAAATGAAAGCTGCAAATGCAAGGAGTTGCTTGAAGTGTAAAGTGATCTCTCAGTATTACTAGCTGAAGTTTATTTGGCTAGAAGATATTATACCTCCTGTAACACTGTAGCCTGACAAATTACATCACAACAAGGACTTCAGTAATGCATTAAAATGTATGCATGTACTTACCCAAAGGAAGAGAGACCAAAATGTAATTAAAGCACTTAATCAATAGTCATGCTTTTAAAGCACTTGATGCATCATTAAGAGAAAATTGTTAGTCTCGTATGTCCTAATAAGCCTTAGCACATGTAATCACATATTCAAATAGAAGAAAGCTTAAAGAGAAGGGTGAAATCAAACACAGCTTAGAAGTGAAAATGATATGATATGATATGTTTTATAACAGGTTGGTTGTCAGACTGTGAACTTAAATTATGTTAACAGAGAGAGAGCATACTAATTATTAAGGAAATAAAAAAAATAAGCATCGGGAGTTGGAACAATATTTTCAAATCAGTCAAAATCATTTTGTTCATAAATCAAAATGTACAAATATATACATGTAAATGAGAGAGTAATGGAACAATGAAATTATCCAAACACACTGCTTCATAAAACTGCTAATGTGCTAATGTTTTTCACAATTGCATCTGTAGTACTAGCAATGTAATCAAGCTTACATGTACCATTTATAATAAATCCTGACTATATTTAATAGGGTGCTACTATAGCATGCAGTCTACAAAGATATTTACACTACAGCATACGGTCTACATAGATACTATCATCATCACTATTTTAGCTTTTGCTTATTTGCAATTGGTGCCATTTATTATAAATAACACTTTTAAACTAATAAAGTACAAAATACCATTACATAACATTTTGGGGGCAAATATAATCAGAATGAAATAAACTCAAACAAATAAAACTAGCACAATTATAACCTAAATTTAAGGTACTCTTTTGGAACACACAACTTATTAAATTATTATTATTTGCTGAACAAAAACGTGGATAAATATAAATTATTTAGCAAGAAATGATTTTTTAGTGAATTATTAAAATGGTGATGATGATAGTATCTGTGTAGACCACACACTATAGTAACACCTTTAATAGACCATCGTTAATATTAAAGAAATTATTTCCCCTTATTTTAGCGTTAATACTCTTCTTTTATGAAATAACTTAGAAACACACCATGAACACTTTAATGAATTATAATCAGCATGGTTTTCAAAAGAGGTTTTCCTGCTTTACCACTTTATTAGGGTTTTTGATAAGGATTTTTTTTTATGTGGCATGTTGTTTTATGTTATTCATATTACCTTTGAGAAAGTCTTTGATATAGTGCTTTATGAAATGTATTTAGTATGTTATTGTTTCTATGAAATCTTTGAAAATGTTAAAAATTAGGCTTTTGGTAGAAAATTGTTGCCTCATGGACATTTTTTGTTGGGCATAAAGTTATTAGTGAGGTTCCTCAATCTGTTTCGTAACCTTTTATGTTTGAACAGTTATGTCATATATTTATATAACATAAAATTTAAAAACAACAAGGGACCTCTTGGTTCATCTAGGCCATCTCATCTATTAATGTTTAGAATAAAGATAGAACACCAGCCCTTACGATTCATTTACCAAACCTTCCCTTAAACTCTGTTAAATTTTTTGCATCCACCACATCTGAAGATATCCCATTCCAAAGGCTAACCATCCTGTTAGATAATTAAAACTGTATTAACTGAAGATTATTCCTTCCCTGCCAAAATTTATATCTTTATTCCCTAGTCCTACCATTCTGATTATTAAGTATGAAAAAAAAGATGATGTATCAACACTGTCACATCCCTTAACAATATTAAACACCTTAAACAGATCAAGAGAAAATTTCAGAGGGCTTAACTTCTCCTCATATAATAGCCTTTCCATCTGATGTATCATCTTAGTAACCAGCCTCTGAACCCCCCCTTTTCAACAATTAAATGAATGTTCTAAGATAAAGAGCCCATGACTAAACACAATATTTCAAATGTGGCCTAACCAGTGACCTATATGATGAAATTATAACCTCTTTAGACTTGTATTTAATATTTCTGTAAATAAGATTTAAAACCTTATTTGCCCTACCACTAGCAACAGCACATTGCTTGGATGGCTTAAGATACTGATCAACCAGAACACCAATATTCTTTTCTTCCATAACACTTGTTATGCTTATTCCCATCAAAATTATATATATTACTTTGCATTCACCATAATTAAAGCCCATCTGCCATTTTTTTGCCCAACTCACCAACTTTGCCAGTAATATTTTCAAATTTAATGACAATATGGAAACATTATTAAAGGCCAATTCTATGGTGAGTTTTCGAGGAGTGGTTTAAGGTAATATTAATTTAAGATCATTGAATTTAGAAAAGTTGCAAGAAAAAAATAATAATAAAATCTGTTTACTGATTAAGTCTTACAGCTTCTGTTAAATGTCTCTAGCTGAGGTAAATAACAAACATAACTTACATCAAGTAATTTAGGTTTAAAACAAAGGTTTAAATCCAAGAAATTGTTTGTAATAGGAAATACTAATGAATGAGGCACTTGAATGAGGGATTACCTTAGGGCAGTTGACAATTAGGTTTTAAGCTTTGAAAGCTCAAGTCTAGACATTTCATTTCACAAATTTATTTCTGTATTATAATTTACCTGATGATATGTATTAGCTTGACTAATTTAGTTTTATTTAGTTGTTATTTTTTATAGATTGTGGAGTAGTAATCTTTAGGAACCAGAAATTCTTCTGTTATGTTGCTTGCTTTTATTTTTTTACTTTCTCAGATAGAAACATTACATTTGAGGCTAAAGTTGAAGTTCTGGCAATAAAGAAATGATCTTTCAATTAATGTACTACATTCAGATGAAAGAAGATATAAATTTTAAAATTCTTCCCATAACCTTTAAAAAGTCATAAGTCTAACAACAACAAAAAAATAGTAATATTTATTTGTATAATTAAATCAAAATAGATAAGCACCTCACTAAGTTTTAAAGGAATTTCGGTAACATTCCCTCGAACGTTGATTTGACGCTGTAGAGTAACTTGAGTCAACCCTTCTGGCTCCACTCCTAATAATGTTGCAGCAGTCATAATCACTTCTTCATCAGCTAGTGTTAGTTGACATCTTTCTCCATCTACATCAGCAAATTGAAGATTTCCCAGCCACAATATGGCACTGAGTACACTAAAGATTCCATCACACATTTCTTGAGGAAGGTTAAGTACTGACATAGCTAAACGCAAAGCATCAAACATGGCAGCATCATCAATGCCACTGATTTTGATACATCCACTTTGATTAAGGTATGAATAGGATTCAGGAGGACCAACCATATAATGTTCTCGCAGCTCTGCATTTCTCTGTGCCCCAGCAACAAACTGATAGAACACATGATAATTTCGTTCTTCTAGAGATTGAAATGTGATACGAGACTGTTCTAAAAGGTAGTCTTGAATTATACACCCTTTTATTTGATAATTTGAGTCAAAGCATACTTGAATAAATTTTCCAAACCTGCTGGAGTTGTCATTGCGAACTGTTTTTGCATTACCTGCAAAAATTAAGTTTACAGCAATCAGAAAATAAAGCAGCTTGAAATATAAAATATAAAGAAAAACAACAACTAATATATTTCTCATATACTTTGAATTTGAAAAACAAATCTAAAAAATCTCTATAAAGTTTAAATGCATTTCTTATAAAACTTGAGTCAAACTTTTATGTTAAATTAAGTAGTTGATAACCTTGCATCTTCTCTCTTTATTTGTTGTTCAAAATCAGAGAAACTCCAATTAAGGTACCATACAAAAACTATCTACATTCTACTACTTAAAACATTTTAACAGTCAAGAGGCAAACATCATATAAAAGACAATATGAGATAATGTTCTCCTTCCTTTTTTCTTTTGTTATTCAATCCCTAATGACCCCATGGATGTTAATTGCATACCCTGTTTTGTGGAAGGTAATAATTAACTCATTTTGCTGATTAAATACTTGTGTCTTTAAATTTGAAGCAAAGAAAGGCTACAAAAAAGTGAAAATTTGTTCTATTTAGGGGTATTTTTATCCCCTTTCTTGAGCAAAAGTCCTAAAACAAAATAGTCCACATACAACATTGGAGGGTTTCATGTTATCGTGCAAAAAATTACAGTAATCAATCCAGCCAACTCTGGGTGATGCAAGACAAATGTGTATAAAGAAGTGGAAATGTGCCTTATTTCTGGGGCTTTTTTTATCCTACCTTCTTGGGTAAAAATCCTAAAACAAAATAGCACATGTACAAATGCACATACACAGGGAGGTTTGAGAGTGTTTGGCCAAACCCCCCTTTTTTTTTATGTGAAAAAATTATGTTTATATAGTTATAGCACAGCTGCTTATGGTATTTAACATTTCCTACATAGTCTACATTCTTCTGATGAAACATTAGCATTTTTGGCTTGAAATAGTAACATGCCCCCAGACCCCCCATAGCATTAGCATGCTTTGCATGCTGATTGTGCTCCGCACAATATGTGTTGGCTTTGATCTCACAAATTAGAACCCCCCTTTTAAACATTCTGCATACAGGCCTGGTACATCATCAGACAGTTTTCAATTACAATACAAAAATTACGGAAACTGAACAAGTTAACCCTGAGTGATGGATGCTAATACACATATACACACACACACACATTGTGGGTCATCTCTTCTAAAGTGCACGTGCACCAGGGATAAAATTCTACTGATACTCTGTACCAGCACTTATTTGATCTGCTTTTCATCCAACCCACAAGCTTTCCATCATACTATCAGAAAGTAGTTACATCACAAATCACAGAATTTAAAAAATCATTAAATATTCTTCAAATGAACCAATAAATGCCCAAACGACATTAGTTCTAGTTGGCAACAAAATCATGAAAAGTCATTTAGCAGTTTTTATATCAATTATTATTAGTCCAATCAGAGAGTCTCATATGGCTGTGTAATTTGTAGGATTGGTCAATAATGATAAATGCATCCAAATGACACTTTTTATTGGCTGATGTGCTGATTTTTACCTACTCCTGATACTAGCCCATAAAATGTCTTTTTTTTTTGCCTTTCAATAGAATGGGAAGCTAAAAAAAAAAGCAGCTGAGGTAAGCTGTTTAACATATATTTGTTTCTTTAAAATCATCAAATCAATGGTCGCATATATCTTATTGTTTTTTAGAAAAATATATAAAACAATCACACATATGAACAAAATCCTTTGTTGTATGCATATATGATTACTTGCATTTTTTTGTTGCAAATTTTAAGCCCTGAAATGCATATTTAACTATATTCACTTCTTACCAAAAGCTTCTAAAATAGTGTTGGCTTCTAAAATTTGTTGTTCTATCCAAGTCGAGACATTAGTTGTAACTGTACACAAATACTGGAGTATGAATTTGGTGCTCTCAGTCTGGAAAACACAAAAGTAAACAAAATTTAAAGTTTTATCGTACATTAAATAATTTCGTAAAGTTTGTCTTAATAACAGAAAACTGGCTATGCTATTCAATATTTTACATCAAATATAAAGCGTCAATTAGAATTCAGTTTCAAAACTCTAACAGATGAGCATCAGTTTTAGCTATGCTGATGTATGCTGAGAAATACATTATGATTGGAGCTTATGAGGTTTTAAGCTTGTATACCTCAAAAGTCTATTTAATGAATTCTTGAAGTATTAATTTTATATCAAATATCTTAAAATTTAGAGCAATATAATGATAAAATGGCAGTTGACATTCACTGAAAGTTATTATTATTATCCCTTTGAAAACTGTTCACAAGTATGTAAATCTACTTTGGCTTTAGCACCACAAAAATATCCAAACTAAATTTATTCTAAATTTTTACGAACACTGCAATTAACATTCTTACATCTCTTGTACGTGAGAATAAGGATATATAAACAAACAGCAGTATAAACTTAAGTCATAGACTGGGGAAAAGATTAATTTTGTTATTATTATTTACAATTAAATTTAATGATACAGATTCTACAAGCTCAGTATCTACTAAAATTAAAAATGCTAACAATGTTATTATGAAACTGAAAATACAAAAAAAAACGTTTTAACACAAATATGTGTTGCAAAATTATTATGTGCGAATTAATAAAAACTGAAAATAATAGCTCTTATATCATAATAATAATATTAATAGTTATTTATGATATCAGTTATCACTAAGTTAATTCACTAATACGAATTGCACTTTCCCTGACAAGATTAGCCTTTTAAATTTTGAGCTAGCTGACTTTTCTGTACATCACCTCTTAATTAAAAGATCTAAAATTAATTAAAATATATCTGTCTGACAGAAAACAATATTTTTGTTATATTGTTATAAGCACCATGGCATAACCTTATCAGGGTTTGCATTTCTACCTTCCTGCACAATAAAGTAACTTAGGTATCCATTATGTTTGTTTTGTTTGTTTTTTGGCTTCCATTTATACTATATTACTGTACATTTATGTTTGTGACACTGAATAAGTACTAATGCATATTTACTTTGCCTGCCCCACTCTCTCCACTGATAACGCAAGCCTGGTTACAAGCCATAGACTGGAGACTATTATATGCAGCCTCAGCAATAGCAAACACGTGAGGCTCATTGTGACCAATCTTTTGTCCACTGTACCGCAGCACCCAGTCCTACAAAAAACAAATCTAAGTATTATCACAATATAATAACCTCTATTTCTTATAATGTGTACATTATGATACAAACTATATCTAGCCCTATGTAATTAACTTCCATACACATAATCATATCTTCCAAGTTCTAAAATTATGTTGCAAAAATGATGTTCATTTGAACTTTGAAGTATGAAATGGATTTTTTTTCCTTTGTACCGATAAAAATATGTAGTTTCCTTTAAAAGTTACGATTTAGGCGCCAAAAGTCAGTTTTGGCCGTTTAAACCGTAACTTTTAAAGTGTTATATTGCTTATAGTCATAGTCTTTTGTCTCTCAATTTCTAACTGGCAGCGACTTGTCGTGGAAATAAAAAGGAGATCGACCTGAAATGCTACTTTTTACACATCTGATTATGAGCCGCAATGGACAAATTACGAGGAATGTGTAGGGGGGGGGGGCATATGCCGTTAGCTTTGATTTTGATAAAAATGTAGTTTTCCTATGTATTTTCAGAGTGAATTTTACGTACACAATTAAGTATTTGTACGTTATTTTTCTACTACTTGAAGGCTTAACTGCTGAAACCACAAGAGCTATAATCACCATACAGCAAGCTAATTAACATCGTTTTTTAAATGAGGTCATATGATTGCGAGTCTTCAACCCATCCAAGACTTAACTTAATATTATAAACATCACGATAATTTCCATTGCATTATTCAAGTCAGTGTACTATCCAATGAACTTAGATACTTGAGAACACTTAAATAATACAAAATACTTGTATCAAAATAGGGCAGTTAATGGGTAACTAAATAGACGACTTCACATTTAATTTATTAGCCTGCAACTTTAAAAGGTTTCTGGGCGTTAACATTTATAATAAAATGTCACTAGTTTCAGTCACAATGCTTTGTTACAGTATCGTAAGCTAATGAGGTTTGTTTATAATAGTTTAATGAATTAAATCATTGTCACAGTAGAACGAACAACATTTTCCATGGGAACAATTAATTAGCTACAACATTTCAAACCGCAGTATAGCTATTTATAATTTCAGATTTTTTACTTAATTTAAAAGCTCAAGTAGTTGTACCAGAGTTTTCATTATGCTGTATATAGTCTCATGATAAATATAACCAAAACGCTGAGCTTTAAAACAAAAAATTCTAGAGTAAAAGTAGTCGTTCCTTTTCGTTTAATATGTCCAAACGTCTTGAATCAGCTCTATTTTTTTTTATTTTGTGTTTTTAAACTGATAAGAGTTTAGTTACTATATTATCTAATTTCTTTTTCAAACTGTAAAACACACAGAGTACTCTACATCCTATAAACATAAAAAAACGGGAAGAATGTTTTACGTCCCTTCATCTATATGAGGCTCGGCATGGCCAGGTGGTTAAGGCGCTCGACTCGCAATCTGAGAGTCGCGGGTTCGAATCTCCGTTACACCAAACATGCTCGCCCTTTCAGCCGTGGGGGCGTTATAATGTGACGGTCAATCCCACTATTCGTTGGTAAAAGAGTAGCCAAAGAGTTGGCGGTGGGTGGTGATGACAAGCTGCCTTCCCTCTAGTCTTTCACTGCTAAAATAATGATGACTAGCACAGATAGCTCTCGTGTAGCTTTGCGCGAATTTCAAAAACAAACAAACAAACCAAATGCGCCATTTGTGGGGATCAGCCCCCCCCCCCCGTTTCAAACCACTTTTTTATTTAAGGAACAATACACATATCTTAAATGTGTAATTTGTGCAGTCGCTTTTATTTAACGATTTCTCAGCCGGTACCTACAAATATAAATCCCATAATCTTCTCAGCGTTCTGCCTCAGCGGCAAGTTTGTGAGTGCGATCCCAACTTGTATTGTTTTGGTAATTTTGTTATAATTTATTTGTTGATTTATAAGCAGCATAGGAAATGACTGCGCAAAATTCTCCCATACTAAAATGAATTTTGATTTTTTTTATCTAAAAAAAAAAGAAAAAAATTCCCGCATAAAGTTGCCACCCCTTCCTTCCCCCCTACTAAAATATGAAGTGACGTCCCTCGTGGGTTCACATCCCATTCGAAACAAGATTTCCAAAGATAACATTTTGTAGCATCTAAAATACCAGGAACAATCGAGTGATTGGCATTATACAACTAAATAGCTTCAACTTGGATGAACAAGATAAAACTTATTACTGCCATTAGCTTACTCTTTCAATGTTATATGTTTAATTAAGTTCTATATAAAGTTGTAGAGAAGTTAAATACGTTACGTTAAACGATTTTGGAGCCTCACCATGTGTTACAGTCCATGTCACACGCCCCCCCCCCCCCCAGTGGCACAGCGGTATGTCTGCGGACTTCCAACGCTAGAAACCGGGTTTCGATACCCGTGGTGGGTAGAGCACAGATAGCCCATTGTGTAGCTTTGTGCTTGACTTGAAACAAACAAACAAATAATGTACACGCCAATATAATGTTTTACGAATTTTCTAAATGAGCCCAATATGTAATTGTATGATTATACAATCATAACATACAATACTCTGGAAGATATATCCCATGTAACATTAAACTATTTACAATTTACTTTGTCAGTTTTTATTTTTCAACAGAAGGAATTATTTGCTGATATCAAAGGTTTCTGCAGAAATGTTTTTTCTTTTTTCTTCAAAACATTATTTTCCCGTCTCCAAATGTTTATCTGAGGAGCTTTTTCGCACATGCTCTTTTGTTTTAGCCCAATGATTTCATAACAACATTCCTCCTTGTGTATATGACATATTTGGATATTGATTAGCGCGATCATCTGTGTTTAAAAATATTACGCTACGTGCCACGATTCAGTCATTTTTCCTAAAAATATTGAACATTTTCAATTTTTTTAGATTACCTATCGGTTTCGTAGTGCACGGAAGCAGCAACGAGATGTCGTGGGACAAGACACAACGATAACCTGATGATGGCAAAACGTTGTACGTTTGTTACTTGGAATAAAGTTCCCTTCGTTATCCATTCATGTTGGCTCTAAACTTTAGTACCGTGGAATTGTGATTCTGTTTAATTTTCAGCCCGAATTTCTCGGATATTTCAATGAAAAACTTTAAAAAGTGTAACTATATTTACAAAACAACAACCCTCCACTTGTTTTTTTTTTTTTGTAATTTCGCGCAAAGCTACACGAGGGCTACCTGCGCTAGCCGTCCCTAATTTAGCAGTGTAAGACTAGAGGGGAAGGCAGCTAGTCATAACCACCCACCTCCAACTCTTGGGCTACTCTTTTATCAGCGAATAGTGTGATTGACCGTCACATAATAACGCCTGCACGGCTGAAAGGCCCAGCATATTTGGTGGGACGGGGATTCGAACCCGCGAACCCTCCACTAACGACAGTATATTTAGGTATTGACTTTGGCGTTCTTTAGCGGTTACATAATTCCGATTAGTTTATTTTTTATTTTTTGAAAAAAAGAAAGAAATTGCAGCTGATATGGTAAGTAGAACTTGTGCTTAAAAGTTGCAAAATCTCAATTATCTATGGTGTCTTGAGTATAAACACAATGATTGGTACATCCATGATCCTAGAGGTGTCACTTACAACTCGCGTAGTTTGATGAGGGCAATAAACACGATAAACACTTGGACATCAACTTCAGTCCTGTCATGGTATCGGAGATCGTTGCGACAAAATTTTGTCGCCCAAAAGGTCACTGGCTTAATAAGTTAGGTGTCAGTACACAACAGATTTGTAGTCACTGGCTTAATAAGTTAGGTGTCAGTACACAACAGATTTGTAGTCACTGGCTTAATAAGTTAGGTGTCAGTACACAACAGATTTGTAGTCACTGGCTTAATAAGTTAGTTGTCAGTACACAACAGATTTATAGTCACTAGCTTAATAAGTTAGGTGTCAGTACACAACAGATTTGTAGTCACTGGCTTAATAAGTTAGTTGTCAGTACACAACATATTTATAGTCACTGGCTTAATACGTTAGGTGTCAGTACACAACATATTTATAGTCACTGGCTTAATACGTTAGGTGTCAGTACACAACAT